CCCCCCCGGCCCTGCTCCCTTCCCCCCATAATCCCCCCCAGTCCGGCTTTCTTCCCTCCCATTGCCCCCCAGCCTGGCTCCCTTCCCCCCATAACACCCCCCAGCCCAGCTCCCTTTACCCGATCGCCCGCCCCCCCGGCCTGGCTCCCTTCCCCCCATCGCCCCCCGTCCCAGCTCCCTTTCCCCCCCACATTGCCACCCAGGACCGGGCCGGCGGAGGAAGCTCTCAGCATCCCTCTAGGGTGCCCGTCATGACCCCCAGGTGCCCTGGAGTGAGGGCTGTGACCCCCGACTAGGGGGGATTCGAGGCAGAAGGGAGGAGACAGCCAGGACACGGGTTAACAGCCCCGCTTGCCCTGCTCCCTGCAGCACCCCCCAGTGCCACACCAGGGTATTGGAGCCAGCACTGACTGCCAGGGGAGAGCTCCCCCTGCTGAGCCCCCCATCCTCGCAGGACTGCGCCCCCTAGCGCCACCATGGGGCGCTGGTCCCCCAGCCCGTGCTCTCCCTCCCTGCAGCCCCTGGGCTCTGCTGGGTCCCCCAGAGAGCCAGGCGGCTGCCAGGCCCAGGCTGGGAGGGTGCTGGGGGCGCTGCCCCCTGCCGGCGCTGACGGCGTCTCTGGGGCAGGTGCAGAGCGGGAACGGCACGGGCGGGCCGTGTGCCGACGGGCGGGATGTGGATCCCTGCAAGGAGGCCGGCTACCGTGCCCGCAAGGAGGCCAACGCCCGCTGCAAGGTGCTGAAGTCGGGGGCATTCGAGCCCTGCCACCCCCTGGTGCCCCCGGAGCCCTTCTTCGCCGCCTGCGTCTACGACCTGTGCGCCTGCGGGGCCGGCGCCGACCAGTGCCTGTGCGACGCGCTGGAGGCCTACGCTGCCCTGTGCCGCCGGGCCGGGCTGGCTCTGCGCTGGCGCTCGCCCACGCTCTGCGGTGAGGGGGGGCAGCGCTTCCCAATCCTCCCCCCAAACCCTCGCAGCCCCGGCCCGGCACTGACCCCCACAGGTCGGGGGGCAGGACCCATGCTGGCTCAGAGCGGGGGGAGCCCCTGGGGGGGCAGGCCCTGGGCTGGCTCAGATTGGGGGGAGCCCCTGGGGGGGGCAGGCCCTGGGCTGGTTCAGATTGGGGGACAGGCCCTTGGCAGGCTCAGATCGGGGGGGGGAGCCCTGTGGGGGGCAGGCCCTGGGCTGGCTCAAATTGTGGGGGGGGAGCCCTGCTGGGGGCAGGCCCTGGGCTGGCTCAGATTGGGGGACAGGCCCTTGGCAGGCTCAGATCGGAGAGGGAACCCTATGGGGGGCAGGCGCTGGGCTGGCTCAGATTGGGGGGGCAGGACCTGTGGGGGGCAGGCCCTGTGCTAGCCCAGATGTGGGGACACAGAAACTGCCCCCACCCCACTGAGGAAATTCAGTGCGGCCTCATGGCGGCGGGGGCAGTTCTGGCTTCTCACCCTCAGGGCTGAGCCTGGGGTGAGGGGGTAGGCAGGTCCCAGCACTGCCTCCCTCCGCCCCGAGCCCTGGCACTGACCCCCCCGTCTCCCCGCAGCCGTCGGCTGCCCCCAGGACCGGGGCTACGTGTTCGACGAGTGCGGCCCGCCCTGCCCCAAGACGTGTTACAACAAGGACGCACCGCTGGGGGCCATCGAGTCGCGCTGCTTCACGCCCTGCATGCCCGGGTGCCAGTGCCCCGCCGGGCGGGTGGAGCACGAGGCCCACTGCGTCCTGCCCGAGGCCTGTCCCCAGGTCGTCTACGGCAGCCTCTGAGCCCCCCGAGCCCCTGCCCCGGGGACGCCTGCGCCATCCACCATGGCCCCGGGCCCGGCCACCCTCCCTGCCACAGCCCCCGGGATGTGTGCCCTCCGCCATGGCCCCAGGACCAGCCTCCCTCCCTCCCGCAGCCCCCGGGACCCCCACGCCCTCCCCCATGGCCCCGGGCCCGGCCACCCTTCCTCCCGCAGCCCCCGGGACCCCCACGCCCTCCCCCATGGCCCTGGGCCCAGCCACATTCCCAGTTGGTGCCCAGTTGGTGCCTGGTGCCTGCCACCCCCTTGTCCCCCCATTTTCCCCTGGGATTCCCCCCCCAGGCTGCCCCAGCCAGGCTCAGAGACGCCTCAAGGGGCAGGAAATGCCAGGCGCTGCTGCCCCCCCAGTGGCTCTGTGTGGGGCAGGTCTGGCGCCCCCTCCCCATCATCATCCCCAGGCCGGGCTCCCTTCCCATGGAGGTGGCTGTAGTACAGGAGGGGCAGGGTGCCAGGCTGGGAGGGCACGGCCCCCACACACCCACTGCAATGGCTTCAGGCCCCTCTCCTCAACCCGGCGGCACAGAGTGGGGAGCCCGGTCTCCTGGGTTCTATCCCCGACGCCCCCTGGGCCTCAGTGTCCCATCCATGCCATTAGCATCGGGTCCTGCAGGCCCCCTGGGGTAACAGTGCCCTGGCACAACTGTTGCTGGACACGCAGGCTGGCATGGAGTCCCCCATCTGGATCCACCCTGCCCAGCACCCAATGGCTGAGCTGTGTGCCGGGGGGGCACCGTGGGTGCCATGAGCCAGTCACACGGGTGCTGAGTCCTGGCACAGACGGGCTGGCCGTCTCCCCGGACTTGGGGCAAGGCACCAGGGGCGGTGCCCCCTTTGGCTGGGCGCGGGCGGGTGTATTTATTAGTGCGTTGGGGGCTGAGCCAGGCCTCCCCCCCCCCCCCCGTGCCCACGGCAATAAAAGCGGTAACCATGGGCAAGCGTCTGGTCCTTGGGCAGCGGCTTCTGGCCGGTGGGGGCCTGTGGCCCATGACCCAGCGTGGGCAGCTAGCTCGTGGCAGTGCGTGGCCCTGGCCGGGCGCCTGCCAGGGGTGCATTGGCAGCCGTGGCTCCCTGCTGCCCGCCTGGCCCCCAAGGGTTGCGGTGCAGCTCCCCGGCCAGGTGCCAGCCATGCCCATGCATATCGCAGTGGGTGATCTGCTGTGGGCAGAGATTCCCGCCCCCCGCAGTGCTCTGGGCACCTGGGGCCACGTTCTGGTTATGCCCCTTCCCAGGTGCCCTCCAGATCCTCACCAGGTGCCAGCGGGTTGTCTCCCAGGGCACTGCGCCCTGCCCCGCCCATGCCCCTGGGCCCTGCTGCTGTGAAATCACTAGTGGTGCCTGCCTGGCACCCTGCGGAGCTCCCTCTCCCCGGATGGCAGCTTGTCACCGGCTCTATAACCTCCCCCCATTTCTCTCCATCCCCCTGGGGTGCCACTGATGCTCCGGGGGGAGGCTGCCTGCAGCTGGCACAGAGCCCCACGCCAGCCTCTCGAAGCGACGCTGCTGTCAGCCAGCGCCCCACGCTGGCAAAGGAGAGTCCAGCTCGGAGGGAGATCCGCAGAGAGCGGGAATTGATCTCCCACAGTGTGGGCTGCCGGAGCCAGGACTCCTGGGTTCTCTGCCCGGCTCTGGGAGGGGAGAGGGGCGGTTAGAGGGGGGTGGGGATAAGCGCCAGGACTCCTGGGTTCTCTGCCCAGCTCTGGGAGGGGAGAGGGGCGGTTAGAGGGGGGTGGGGATAAGCGCCAGGACTCCTGGGTTCTCTGCCCGGCTCTG